ACAACAGCATCAACACTATCAGGAATGAATCTGCATCTCTCAGAACACTAGTGAATTAGTATGTCTAAAGGGAATAGTTATGAAAAAGGTGTCATTCTGCTGGACTGGTATATCCGCTAGCAATCAGGTGCCATTATGTGGCCTGGAAGACAGCTAAACTTACATATCCTTCCCATGTGATGAAGAAATATGTATTTTGAATAACAAAGTTGAAAGAAATGTTGTTGAAGACTTATACCAACAAAAAATAAAAAAAATTCAACTGGCAAAAATAAATGTTACAGGATCTAAAATTTATGATCCACATTATCAACCTCATGCTAACAAGCCAGATAAGTCTGCAAAAGAATTACAAAGGCTTGCAGAGGAAAAGTCTTCAAGTGGATCATGATACCCAGTGTGAAATAGAATGAGCTACATTAAATAAAGCCAACAACTTGCAATGGCAAGAATAATAAGACTAACAGCTTTCACTTAAGCTAAGATAAAAGCTGTTATTTTGTGTATTAGTATGGTAAAAAGAATTCTCTACCAGAAATAATTCTATTTTGCTGCCATTGAATATGGTTGAGAATTAGAACATTACCAGAAACAGTAAATTTCAACAGTCACTTTATGTGGATTATTTGTTGACTTTGAATACGGACACTTGAAAGTTAGTCCAGATGGCTTTATTGATGGAAATGGTATTAATGAAATCTAGTGCCTTAAGAAAGCCAAAAATGTGATCCCAGTTGAAGCAGCAAAGACAATAAAAGATTTTTGTAGTACCAAAAATTGACATAGCTCTGCTCTGAAACAAAATCACATTTATATCAGATTCAAGGGAAGCTTCACATTATAAGGAAACATTTTTGCCATTTTGTTGTGTGGACATCACATGAAATGTCTGTAGATTACATTTACTGGCATGGTGAGTTCTAAGAAAATATATTACCAAAACTTGACCAATTCTACAGACTCTCATCTTCCAGGAATTGCCAATTCAAAAATTTAGTGTTCCATGGAAATAAGAAACCCACTGTACATCACTGAAGCTAGAAATAAAACAAAAACTCAAATACTCAATTCATTGAAGACAGAATCCAAATGGAATCAATAGACTATGGCTCTTTTTAGGGCCAAATATCTTTATAAGGAGAAGACAAAAGTGGTAACTTCCAGGGGGGGGAGGGAGCAAAGTTGTCCAGGGGGAGAGAGAGTGTAATTGTGAAGTGAATAATAAATTCATATACATATGCAGAACAAATAATGAAAGTTATGCTTTTCACTTTCCAGTTTTTCATTTATAGTTCAATACCCTATTATCATAAACCTATGCACTGCTATATACAATTTTGAATTGTACGTACAAGTTATAATCAAAATTACACTTGTCGACTCTCATGAAAAAAAAGAAGAAAGAGGAGCAATAATGTTTTATTTAGCTGATAAACACTTAGAATCAAAATGTGAGTATCTGAGCGTCACACACTAAAACTGAATGAAAGTAACATAACCAGAGGCAATGATGCATGATCTCCTTTAATTAGCTTTTCCAGGTAATCATCTAGTAACCTTGACATTTTGTTGGTTCTATTGTATTTCAGTGGCATTAATGCACTCTAACAGGATTAATTCCACTTGACATCACTCATGATTTGAATTTTAGGAATATGCCACATTCCATGTATTATTTCAATGTTACATTGCAGAAAAATAATGTTCTGGGTACACCATTTGTTCATAAAATTGAAGATAACTTGAAAGTTATGGTCTACAAACTAATGGAAATAAATCAAAACTAAATCTTTTCACCATACTTGTACACTATTGATAAAATTTTGATTTGTTTAGAACTTCCAACATTTTAGTTTCTCAATTCTCTAGAATGTAGATTAATATGTAGATGTTTGAGTCAATTTGATTTAGTTTCAACTGATTATCAACAAATTCACCTGACTGGATAAAATTAACAGCTGTGATGGTCTGAAGCTAATACAACTATCTATTTGCTCATGCTGTCAACATAGCTTTATTTTTATAACTGAAGTACATGTAACCATTTGTTTTATAGATCAGCAGTCAATTACAACAGTTTTATAAATATACAACTTTATCAAAACAGACATAAGTAACTTTATTTAAAGAATTAATTCAAAAATTTACCTGAATAGGCCTATATTATCTAATATTGTAGAATTGTTCTTTATGCACTGTAGCTGCCTTGCTCAATCATTTGAATTAGGGAAAAATCATGTTAGTATTTTAGTATATTTCTAATCTCACAAAAAAAAATTAAAATTTAAAAATCTTTACACTTGTATATTATCAAATCATTACAGGTTTTTGTTCAGTTATTGTGTGTGTAAACGAAGATGATTTTAGTTGTAACTTTTTAAGGCATCAAGATTAAGTATCGAATGAAAATTATTAGGATTTATCTTGTTTATATCTACAAAGCTACAGGGTATATATTTTTATATTTGAGAAATGTTTATGACCATAAACCTTGATCCTTCATTTTTCTTTGTGCTTTGTAAACAGTAAGAAAAAACATAAGATTTTTATCTAAATAATATGAATAGCCATCCATAAATGCAACGTTTCATGATGGTTTGTTTGTCTTTCCTCTTCTCGCATACAGATCAACACATGTCTGACGTGCAATGCATCATGGTAGAAGTTCTAACCAGAATCAATCCTACTGACATTATACGTCAGATGTAAGATTATGTGAAGTTCTAACCAGAATCAATCCTACTGACATTATACATCAGATGTAAGATTATGTGAAGTTCTAACCAGAATCAATCCTATTGATGTTATACATCAGATGTAAGATTATGTGAAGTTCTAACCAGAATCAATCCTACTGACATTATACATCAGATGTAAGATTATGTGAAGTTCTAACCAGAATCAATCCTATTGATGTTATACTTCAGATGTAAGATTATGTGAAATTCTAACCAGAATTAATCCTACTGACATTATACATCAGATGTAAGAGTATGTAAAGTTCTAACCAGAATCAATCCTACTGATGTTATACATCAGATGTAAGATTATATGAAGTTCTAACCAGAATCAATCCTACTGACATTATACATCAGATGTAAGATTACATGCTACATCTATTCCTGAATGCACTGTTTTATGGGTGTAAAAACAGAAATGAATGCAAAACATTTCAGGTCATAAAAGGTAAAAAGTTATGAATCTATTCCACTTTTATACCCACAAGAACAGAATATAGGAATGTTGATAGTACCTAATGAGTTTTTCTATGTAAAGTTAAAATATATGCTACTTAACAACTATCTAGCACCTGGGATAAATGAGACTGGATACTGCCAAGCTTTCATAGCTAGAATTTCAGAAAAGGGGAAATCAGTTTTACAAAAGTAGGGACATGAATGACTAGCAAGCACAGAAGACCCAATACAGAGAAATATAAAGTGTATAAGAAGAAGTAACATCAGATTTGTAATCTTATGTTTCAAGACTTAATAAAATGGTCAGCATAATTCAATTGCAACTTTTGAGAAAAATGTGACATATTTAGTTAAGGAAAAAACAAATATATACTGATTTGTTAATTACAGTTTGACTTATTCTGATTATTTTGGGGCCAAATGGACAAACAAACCCATTGCTTTTCCTCTTCTATTGTTTTACCTATTCTATGTTACCAAATTAAGGGTCTGCATAATATTCTTTTATTAGTATTTATTGCAAAGAAAAATAAAATGAATAAGGCTGAGTAGAATATTTTGATAGCTATATAGCTTATTCTAGAAGTATATACTTGAAAAACATTCAAAGCACTGAAATTGTTCGTTAAATTTTGTGCAAAGCTGCTCAAGGCTGTCTGTACAAGCCATCCCTAATTTTAAAATGACAGACTGTTGGGAAAAGAATTAGCCAATACTGGTAATCTCTTCCAATGAATAGTGGGATTATAATGACCACATGGCTAAAAGGACGAGTATTTTTGGAGAAGGGTTTCCATCCTGTAACCTGCATATTGTCAGTCGAATGTTTTTACCACTAGATCAAGCATTGAAATAATACAATAACTGAGCAAAAACTTTACACCAAGTAACCTTAGACTGGCCTACTAATATCCTCCTTCAATTACAGGGTATATTCAAATTTGGTTGTTATAAAGCACTTACAAATGGAATTTTTATGAGTCAAATGGTGGTGACATGGTTGTAATGCACATTAATTTAAAAAGAACAATCAATTTTTTGTAAAGTTTTTCAAACTTTGTGCAAATTCAAGGCAATGTATGTATTATGTATTTTTGAACTCAACAAAGTGAGAAAATATAGCCAATGGTATCAAAATTACTGATAACAAAAACTGTAAAACCATCATACACATAGAAAGCTTTTTTTTTATGAAACAATAAGACAACTTCAAAGAAACTTTAGAAAAATAGTTTCAAGACAAAATACTGTATTACTCAGTTTACTGTTTTATGAGCAATCAAATTAATGAATTATCTTTGTAATGAAGGCAATAAGTTGTACTCTGCTATGAGCAAAGAAAAAATAACAGAAGAAAGAGCAGCAGGAAATCACATGGTCTGAGGGAAGAGAAAAAACAAAACTGAATAAATGTTATGCAGTGAAAACATCTACCTGTATATATTAGCCACCTCCTTGGCACCTTTATTTTGGAGCCTCATCATTTCACGAGACAATAAGAAGAGAATATAATGTTAATAAGGACACCATACAATAAAATACTAACAAATTGTTTAAAATATTCTCCAAGCTAAGTTATTATGTTCATAAAATAAATTATTGAATATTAATAACTTTATTATTACTGGTTGCTGATTAAGTTTCAAAAATGCTTTCATGCAATATCAGAGACTTCTATGAAATTTTCTCAACACTATTAAATACCTACAGTTTAAATATTTGATAGTTTTATCTGAGCAGTAAATATAGCAACTAAACAAAACATTTCTTAGTTTTATATAGATACCATCTACACATACTTGCCTTTAAATCCTTCTGTTGCATGAATAATTCTTAAGGCTTGAAATACACTGCCATATGTATACACACCACTCTAAAGACCAAAATAAGTAAAATCAGTTTTACATTTACAGCAAGAATACAGTAAATATAAATATTGCAAAGACCTGTACAGATAAATGTTAACTCTTCCTTTCATCAGTACAAGTTTTCAGTGTTATATTTTTTCCTGTTTTAGCTCAGGGTGATAAAATGGTGTACAAAAACAATATTAGCTTTTTAAACCTGAGTGAACGATTTCAGCATCTAGCTGAAAATCCTGATTTACCCATTGGATGGTGACATCATCTGATAAAATTTTCTTTTTTAGCTGAAAACTAATCTAAACCATGTTATTATCCACCTTTTATAAACAGACTGGAAATTTTACAAAAGTATGATGATAACTATTAGGACATCATAAACATGATTCTGACAAGAACGGGCAAAAAATTATGGGTTTAAAGAGAGAGTTAAACAACAGCATAATGGCATTTTATGAAAATCTCACATATAGTAGAAACTCGAAACAATGGGCACTGTGCCATTAAGGGCAGACATTTTCACTCTTTCATTTTTCTACTATCTTGCAATAATGGGCACCTCAATATTCCGGATTAAGGGCAGTATCTTTAGTCTCATTCTCTATATGGCCACTTGATAAAGCGGGCAGTTATCTTTGTATTCCTGTACAGTATACCACTAAATTACAAACAACCCATAAGGATGATCAATGTTCAAACACTTGTGATGTTTAATGGATTGGCTCCAAACCATATATTGTAATAAACATTTTCACAGAGTCAAAGTGCAATATTATTACTCTGGGGAATTCTCATTGTAAACACTGTAGGATACACAAGCTGATAAATTTCACATCTCAGAACATGGGTAAAGTCGACTTATTTCTGTGTGCATGCTTTGTTGCTCTTGAGAGTATCTTATTACGGTGTCACGCAAACAGTCTAATGACACAAGCAGTGATTTGTTGCTTTATTTTTAACGGATTTCTACTTCAGTCATTGAAAGTAAAATTAATGCAGAAAATAAATGTGAAATTTTAGTAATTCAAACTCTCAACAAAAGTACTCTGAAACTTTGTGACCAATGATAAAAAGAAAAGTCTACAGCTAATCTACCTCCTGAGACCTCCTGTTGACAACACTCCATGTCATGAACATGCAACTCAAGAACACCCATGTCCTGCATACACCAAACAAAATGGGGAACCTTAAAATTAAGAAATTTATTATAGTCAATATGGAATCCAGCTTTACATAGCTAATTTTTTATATTAAGGGCACCTTGCTATAAAGGGAAGTTGGACACAGTCAGAAGGTTGCCCTTAATGTTGAGGTTCTACTTTAATTAGTAAAATCTTATTTATCTCCAAATGTGCATATGTATACTGTTTTTGTGGATTTTATGCAATTCCTCTAAAATATCTATATTACATATAACATAAAAAGAAGTACTATGTAAAATACTTATGTTTAATTAATGGTTTAAAATATACAAACTCTGCAAATATATCTGAAACTAGATAGACTGTGAAAAAATTCAGATAAGTTGATCAGATATCTAAATACATGTAAACAAATTATCAAATTTTCTTGATCAAGGTTTATTAATTCAACCTTTATGTCTTTCTACTTGCAGTTCAACTTTTTTTTTAATACATAGCATAAAACCTACTCTTCATATATTGACATATGATATATCTTCTTACTATAAGATTCAAACAATTAGAAAAATAACTGTTGTATGTGCAACAACCATTTCTTTATAATAGAACACAATTTTAATAAACGTACTCTCCTCACAAGAACATGACTTTCACTAGGCCTGTACGTGATGAGGGTTTGATTATATCTTTATTGATGTAATTTTTAAATGTAGTACTGAGATAATGGAGCTCTTTAAAAACTATTATTATTTTTTGAATAAATGGTACCATTTTTAATATATAAAACATCACAGTTTATATCAATAAAATTTATGAAAACTTGGAGCCCTGTACATTTAATCATTTTGTTGCATATGACTAAACAGCACAATCTGAACACTTTTCTTGTGCAGTACTTCCCAGAAAAAAAAAATCCTTTTTTTTTAGAAAATGTTCACTTTTTCTAAATTTTTTTCAATGAGGCATGAATACTATGATTACTAATTACAAACACAAACAGCTGCCCATATGGTAGCATTTCTGCTAGTATATACAATGACAAAGAAGGAGGCAATCCAATATGTTGAAGGAAACTGTGAACTGAAATAAAATAGAAATAACATATAGTTGAGGTTTGACAGTAGTTTCTAAGAGCATCCACCATAAAATATTGCATTAGCTCACAATAAACAATATATTTTAGTTACTGATTCTCTACCTTTTTATGCTGTGTATTCTCAGTAAGACTAATGAGCCAGCAACATAATGAGCCCCACCACAAACCTCTCCACATACCCCCAGGGGTACATGTATCAGAGGTTGGGAACCACTGCTTTAAGTTAAATGATAGTTATTAAGATTACACATCATAAAATACTGTGTTAGTAACACATGTAAGAGAACCCCCTGACACATAGTATATATATATATATATATATATATATATATATATATATATATATTTGTGTCGTATCACATAATATAACTACTACTACTATATAT